GCTCCCTGCCAAGAAGGGACCCTGATGTGGGGCTCGATCCCAGGACTCTGGGATCATGACCTGAGCCCAAGGCCGACGCCTAACGACTGAGCCACCCAGGCGCCCTATGTAGTTAATTTTAAATCTCCTTCTGATGGGGCACCTGGGTGGCTCAGTCAGTTAGGTGTCTGACTCGATTTCAGCTCAGGTCGTGGTCTCAGGGTCATGAGATCGAGCACTGGACGTGGAGCCTGCTTAAGATTCTCCCTCTCCCTCTGCCCCCCAACCCTGCTCTCACTTTCTCTCAATCTCTAAAAAAAATTGTTTGTGGAGTTTCTTTGAGTCCTAGGATCAAAGTAGTTTCCTCCAGAGAAGATTTTCATTTACTTCTGCAAACATCTTTGGGAAATACCAGTCTGGGACCACCTTAGAGCAAATTCACAACTTGAATTTCCTAGGGCCACTTAGGTGATGGGAATCCACACTGCAAATCTATGTTAGGGCTGGCCCGTGGCCACAACTGTTCCAGGACAGTTCCCCCATTCCCCTTTTCTGTTTACCATCAAGGCCATCTTCCTTATAGTCCATGGGGGTCCTGTATGGAGAAGGCTTTCTTCTGGCTCATCTTTACCCTGAGGGTATTGGTTTTGTGAGGGGTCAGTGGTCTCAGCTTAATGTGCAGAGGGTCTCATGTTAGCCTTCTCACCTGGGAGGGCCCTTCTTGAAGTCTCTCCTCCCTATCCCATGAGGCTACCCAAACCTAAGTTCAAGTTTGCCCAGATCAGCAGGTGTCCTCAGGACAATAGCGGCATCAGTGCTCCCTCACCCAGCTTACCTCTCTGGCTTCCCGCTTTCCCTTAGATTTGGCATGGCAATTCCTTACTTTCTTGTCAACTCACGTTTTGTTTTTGTTTTTAATTTAAAAGACTTTATTTTTTAGAGCAGTATTAGGTTCACAGCAAAATTAAGAGGAAATGTACAGAGAGTTCTCATATACCCCCAACCCCCATATATACATAGCCTCCTCCATTATCAACCTCCCCTGCCGGAGAGTATATTTTATTTTATTTTTAAAAAATTTTTAAAAATATTTTATTTTTAAGATTTTATTTATTTGAGAGAGAAAGCACAAGCTGGGGGAGGAGCAGAGGGAGAGGGACAAGTGGACTCTGTGCTGAGCACAGAGCCCAGTGTTGGGCCTGATCTCATGACCCTGAGATCATGATCTGAGCTGAAACCAAGAGTCAGACACTTAACTGACTGAATCACCCAGGCGCCCCTAAAAAGATTTTATTTTATTATTTTATTTTTTTATTAACATACAATGTATTATTTG